ATTATATGCCCAAGACTGACATGAATCGGTTTGCTCGGTTGTTGAGAAATTTAAAATATTCTTAGAATATTGTCGTAAAATGTCGCTATTTGTAGGCACTGCATTTACTTAATTTCGTAATTTTTACGAGTGTTATTTTAGTCTATGTTAGTAGACTTATTGTAAAATACAAACCATACTTGAAAAAGTTTTAGTCGATATTCTTATTTCCTAATAAGTAATAAAATGTGGAACAAATAACATTCTCTATAATTAAACCTTCGAGAAATGTAGGTCTCTTATCTAATTTTATACCATCGAATGCATTAATTTATACAATCGAATCATGCATTGCATTATTTCAGTGATGAAAAGGTTAAAATAAAACCCTATACACCAATCAGCCGCATAGCCAGCGTGCAGATATTAAACTTATTATGTAGAAAGAGATCCGTATCCTTAAATAAATGATGAAGGCTATCTATTTAAAGACGTGGATCCAATAAAATTATAATATTTTTACAAATACGAGTATACAATTACAATAAATCATCGTAATTTTTAAAATGTTCTTTCTTCTTTGATAAATAGCTTTATGAAAATAAAGCTATTTATATCATATTAAATAAGTTATTACTTATCCAATAACTATCAATATTATTTTTTTATTTGTTACGACGTCAATTAACATTATTTAACAATTTTTATACTTATGTACCTCTTCACATTAAAATTTACTGTATTTATTATTTTTATAAATAGTACAATAAAATAAATATATAGATAATTTTATTTTAAAATAATTTTAAAACAAGCTCTTAACAGAGATTGCATGCGTAAAGAAACTGTTGCACGTCATATCAAAGAAGACTTTATTTACTACACAACATTTTATAATTGCATGCATGTTATTACAACATAAGCAAAGTAATATGCATATAAATAGAATGGCTACACTCTACATGAAATGTTACAAATTTTAGAATAATTTTTGCAAGTATTTCACTTATTTTTGTGGTTAATTTAGAAGTCTACTTAAGTAGTTCACTACGCTACGCTTTCAGTACCAGTACCAGGAAAGTTTCAGACAAAAATAAAATACATGTGACTTAAATGTTGTAAATTAAAGATACATTTAAGTCGTTGGAAATAATTCGCCCGAAATATATCGCATTTACTAAAATCGAAAGCCGGCAGTGTGTGTAACTAAATCCCAGATATTCGAATATTCAAATTATCACAAATATAGACAATATATATAATAAGTTAAAAACACATAATAAGTTAAAAATATCTTTTTTAAAAGTAAAGTGGAAAGCTATCTTTAGGTAAGTGGGTATAATCGAGTAGTTGCGTCATTCATAAGAATTGCTAAAAAAATCACTTTTCAAGGTTATATCGTGCAGTTTGTTACTTAAGGAAGAGTTTGTGTATTAAACATTGACCTACACCATCTGAGCGTGAACGATAATGATACATGAAAAATATGTACTTATGTCTTAATGTTTTCGTCGTTGAAAAACCTATAGAACTGGTTTCATTTAGCCAAAATAAAAGAGCTAAGTAAAAAATATAGGCATAGAGAAAACAATAGTATTTCGAATAGGTATAATTATTGAGTCATTGAAATAATTTTACTTTATTGTGTTATTACTACTTTCAGGAAGTAGATCTATCGACTCAAGTGTTACGTGTTAGAATTTCATTGAACAAATAGCATTGTGTCGCGTTTGCATAGTTCGATTTAAACCAAAACTAGTTTTTATCCATCAGTTCGTTCGTGTTATTAGAAAATATTTATTAACTAGGATAATATGCAGCTTATGTCTTTTTTAATCCCAAATATTACGGATATTCTGTATTTTACATCGAACCATTAAGACGTCAAAATATAATTCTTTAAATTCAATTTTATATTTATATTATTACAAGTTATAAGGACTATAATAAAATATGTAGAAATTGTATCTATTTGAGTATTTATATTTTTATTATATTATTGTAATTATAAGAAAATAAAAAAAGAAACATATATTTTCTTTGTATGGTAACTACTCGTATTGATAGAAAAATTGATCTATTTAAATATTATTGTACATAATACATTACTCGTATTTACTGTACGAATTTTTAAATAATTCTACTAATTCAATATGTTAACACTAGATTCACAATTCCACGTAAAGTTCGTGTACATTTGTAATTTTCTTGTTAGTAATAAATTTGTTACAGTTCCGGATGATGATTAAAAACTAAATACTGTGTTATGTACTACACATTATATGACTTTTAGGTCATATTGATTATTTGCTTGATGATGCCTTGTTTAAAGGTAAATCAATATTTTAAATCTAATATGTCTATGAAACATATAGTTGTTCATTGGTGTGTTTTACTATGACAAAATGTATCAACTTGTTTTATTAAAGAAAATGTTTATAATATCAAAATAAGACTACAGACAATAAGACTTCCTAGGTAGATGCATCAAATATTTGAGAAGTAACAAGTTTTATGTTATATTGTTTTCATAGGAATGATATTTAGTGTAAGAAAAATCTAAATAACAACTAAGTATTGAGTAAAAAGAATCGTTATTTGCAAATATTTAAATAAAGGCTGTAGTTACGAGATAGGTATTATTATATTAGATTTGAAATTTATCAAATTTAATAGTTGTTATATCCAGTTCAGAGTGTGTCAGTATTATGAATCTGATGAGAGTAGATCTCTTTCTGTAAAAAATAGTGCGTACAACCATGAGCGAGAATAGATTTAAAATATCTGAATTAAGAATTGCGTGTCTATAAGAACATTTTTTGCAATATTCTTATGTACATGTTGTGTGTGATTAGTAACAAACAAATAAACGATGTATCTATCTATCTATCTATCAATATTAAGATTTACTCCGCAAAGAAAAAATGACATTGTCAATCGTTGTAACACGGAAGTAAACCGTATTGATTGCAAAAACAAAATAACAAAATATATTTAGAATAGACGTAGTAATCTACTAAATTTATGTTATGCGACATCCAAAAGATATAAAGGGTTGTATATCTAGAAATAAAAAAATAAAATCTGTATTGTTCTCTGGGAAGGGATCAGTTTCAGTGGCGTAATAAATGGTCCATTTTCATAAAATATAAATAAGTACCTATTTACTGTTTATTTTTAGAATATTTTTAAACTTGTACGGGTTTAATATTTATAATTTTTGTTAGATAATACTATACAGTAAAATTAATAATAACTTAATTCTTAAAATCTTACTATGAGTAAATGCGGGGGAAAATAGATGTCAACGCTGAGCTATAAAAAGTAAATTGTTCATGTGCTGTCGGATATGCTATTTGACTTCTAATTTTTTGTCGCCATGAGTAGGTACTACGTAATTCTTGTGTTCCTCGCATATTTAAGCGTTAGGAATATGGACGTTCATTCGAACTGAAGGAGATTCAACCTCAGGCTTTGAATTTACGTTGCTTCGGACGTCAGTTTATTTTTGTAATGTATGATTTTTCGTTGTACGAATATTTACTTATTTGTTTTAATTGTTGTAGGTATGATCTTTGTATCCTGCTATTCTTCACTCAAATGTCGTGCCCATCCCAGAACGCAAGCTGAGCTTTTAGCTGCACACAAAAACTGGAAAATAATCTTGAATATGCCAAGTCTTTCCCTCTCTCTCTCTCTGCCTGTTGTTGTACATTTATGTAGCTACATAACTACACGTACTAATCTGTAGTTCTTTTTCTGTATTAATTTACATATTATTGTAATATCAAAGCAATAAGTAATGTATTATTTGTTGTTGATTGTTATATTTAATTTTAACTGCTTAGTCGTTTACATTTATACCGAATATTAAATATTGATTTAAAAATTACGATTTTTTTATCATTGAAACTAATCACTTATTTTTCCATACCTATAATTTATAACTAATTAAGTACGTAGTACGGTACGGTAGTGGTGACTGACGCTTCACCACTAAAATGATTTTCGTGTTTGTATAGAATATGTGCGGAGTGATCAATAAGCTAATGGAAATAAGTAAATTTTTTTTATAAACCCAATTGTAGAGAGGCCTATACGAATCATGTTAGGTTGAATTATTAAGATTGTCACTACTAATTCAATGCCATTAGAAATAGTACGTACTATTACACACTGTCCAGGCAATAAGGAGTAATCTCTTGACATGTCAGTGCCCAGCCGGAGTGACCTTACGTCACGCGCCCACCGCTTTGCGCCGTCACACGCGTTGGGAATACTAACATCTGCAGAACGCCTTGGTAGATCCTTGGCTTCAAAACCGAGCTCCTTTCTTAGTAGACTGTTGCGTTGCGTTCACTATATGTTTTCTACTAATATTCGCCGTTCACATAAGTTTGGCAGTACCATCATAGCTAGAAAGAGGCAGTTGTTGATGTACCTAGGTTCGTGTTACAACATTTCCCAACAAGTATCCATTCAGACACGATAATTATAACAATTTTGTATTAATTAATTATACTGGCAAATCAAATCCTTAAATGACCTTTATTCATGAACAAGTTGCCTACCTATAAGTAGGAAGGTATACTTATTACCTAAGCTCATTGATTAGCGCTTCAGAGAATAGTTGCTCATTTTGGATCGAGGTTGTCTGTCTGATATGGTATCATCAAACGTTTCTACAATTTATCTCTGCTCGAATAAATAGTTATCAATGTTTGTTTTACGATTGTCCTCTCGATTAATTTGGTATATAAGCACCTGTAGCTGCTTACGTTATGGAAATATTTATTTATAGATAGAGAAATTACGAGTATTTTAGTTATGAGATATGATTATTATATAATATAAGTAGCTCTCAATGTTTCTATAAAAGGGCTATGATTATTGTATTTCTTAAAAACTTTGACATAGCCCCGGGCGCTATCTAGGTGTTGGTGTTATTCACAGAACAACTTTATGCAATAAATCAATTAATTCGTCATCTGAGAAGGCTGTATTTTATCACATTATCTCACCTGATTGATCTATTAATAGATGTCTGTTGTTCCTCAAGTTGACCAGTCCAAGAGCACAAACACTACCGCGATTTAGGAAAGATAATTTTAATTACTTAGTATGAAATTACGAAAAGCGAGGGCGCCAGTTTGCGCGAGTGGTGACCGCGGTGAGCGCGTGAACGGCGCCTGCACTTGTGTATAGGTGTGAGTTAGGTACTGCCGGTGCGCGCTCCACCACCACTGCTTTTATCACTTCGGACTTCAACTTGACTTCTCACGTCATAAACTGTTTACCTGTACTGCGAGAATATTTTTAAATCCTATAAGTTCGTTGCGAAGTTTGTGTTCATTAAATGATCAAAATTCTTCTGAATGTCGTTGGCGTAAATTTCACTTTACAATAATCGTTGCGGTCGTCTTCCTAGAATTTTCCCGATTCACATTTATTTATCCCTATAATATAAAATATTGATAAAAATACCTTTAATTATTATAATCATCACGACTAAATTGTTTACTTTAGTTTTTATTCGGTTCCATCATATTTTATATGTAAAAAATTTCTTATACGTATTTTTATGAATAGATATTTATCGATTAAATGGATTTAAAATGATATTTTTTTAAGGAACGATAACTGCACCAATTTTATTACTACAAGTTGGTGGATTAACTGTAAGGGATCAAAAAGGTTGGCCCGTCGTGACCTTTTCTTCAGAAATTGTTCACGATAGTTTTTAGGGGAATTGCGTGAAAAGCAAGCTGATAGGATATATTGCTAGTAATCAGGTCTTTAGATTTCCTTACTCACATTCCCCCCCCCCCCCCCTTTAGTACATATAGATAAACACATAGGAGATATAGATATTATTTACACGGTCCTCAATTATACTTTACACAACCGAGTTACAAGAAGCATCTAGTATTTTATTATATTACTGGCAGCTTCAATAATTTTAAAATCTAAATCTATATTTGGATTTTGGTCATAGTGTATGTAAGTACATTAATATAAATGAAAAACAATTGTCAACAATATTAATGAAAAGTTTATACCTACATATTTATGTGTATTCTTAAAATAACTTACACGAGTTTTTTAATATATATTTATTTATATTAATATAGCTACATGTTATGTAGTTAGGTTATGCTTAAAAAATATTATTATAAATTATTGATATAAATTTAAATATATCCTATTGTAGGCTCAATTTGTAAAGCGTTTTAAAGAAAAAATAATTTTTAGGTTTACTACATTATAAAATAAATTATAAATGTAACCGATGCGACGTTATGATAATCTGGTCGACTGTGATTCTGACATTTTTTTTTACAACACAGGGGGCAAACGAGCATGCGGCTTACCTGGTGGTAAGTGACTACCGCCGCCTATGATCATCCACAACACTAACGGCATTGCTGGTGTGCTGCCGGCCTTTTTTCTTTGTCACATTTTTTGTTAAACTTCTTCCTGTCTATTTCCCCTATATAAAAACATTCACTTTTGAATACGTATGGGAATTATAATGCAAAGTAATTTTATCATATTGGATATTGATAATTGGATATAAGAAAACTTGGATATTGAGACAAAATGTGTTAAAATCCTTCAAATCTTAAAATCACGTGTCACGACGTTCGTCTACACTAACTTCTGAAACAGCTTAACAGATTAAAATGAAATTCAGCAAATATGTGTTGTTTGCTTCAATTTCAGAGATAAGAGTTTTTATTCTTATAATAAAAGATTGATCTAGTAGGTAGCGGCAAAACCTTTACAAGTTCAGTTAGTAGCAATGTATATGTTACAGCAAAAGTAATAAATCCGGATATTATATATACTATCAAACCATTACATATATAATATCTACTAAATTTAAATAAAGTGATAATTAATAACAATTATACTCATTATTTAGCTATTTTATACAATAATTAGAAGACTCGGGTAATGTAATATACAAATATAGATGAAGGCTATAAAGTTTTATTTCAATTTGCTTCAAGCATAACTATGTATGTAGTAATAATAAGCCGTCATTTTTAATAGTAATAATAATAATAATAATTATTATTTTTAAAATATTATAGTTATCATAATTGTAAATATTAATGTATATTAAATAAACTTTAATTATAAAGTAAATTTAAAGTTCACTATTCCTAACACAAAATAAAAAAAATACTTTGGGTAACGTACTTTTGGGTATATATATATATACACTCCTCGCAAAAATTAAGGGAACATAAAAATTTTTGAAATTTTTGGGTGATTTTCAACAGGCTGTATTTCAGTGAAAAATAATCGTACAGCAAATTTAAAAAAAGGGTTTTGAAGCTTGAAAACTCTAGTTTTCAGATTTTTTGGTGAAAAAATTTTTTGAGCTCCGGTTTCCATGCAATTCTTAAACAAAGCTGAAAATAATTTTTTTCTAAATTTTCTAGGTTTCGTTTTTCACTCTATGGGCATGGAAAAATTTTTTCGAGCTACTCCATTGTATAGGTCTCTTAGCGTGTTTATTCAGCTTCAAAAATCGCTTTGGATGGCTCAATTACGACCATTTGTCTCCGAGATATCGAACTTTGAATGCAAAAGCATCCTTTTCCATTCAACTGCTAATATCTCTGGAACTACTGGTCGCACAGCAAGCGGGCGCCGAGTTTCTTTATCTGCATAAAATTTTCTTGATTTTTTTCGATTTTTTTTTGATAATGAATTTTTAAAAAACAAAGAATTGAGTAAAAAGTGAAAAACAAATGAAATTATTGATTTTTGAATGGATTAGGGTGAGTTTAAGGGACAAAAACCTTGTTCCCTTATTTTTTCCAAAATTTCAATCAATTGGTCCGGGAAAAACCGTTGAACCGATCGCTCCAGGGATTTAGGGGGTTCTTAAAAGAACAATAGACTGTAAAATTTTCCTCAAACCTTAGCTTTCCCGCCCATATTAGCGAAGATACAGCCAAGTAACCAAAAAAGGAGAAAAAGTCACTTTTTTCCACTTTTTTCAATTCAATGTTAGAGGTGGAAAAAAATTTTTTCTTCACTAACTCTTGACTGTGCTTAATAGGAAATTTTATGCAGATAAAGAAACTTGGCACCCGCTTGCTGTGCGACCAGTAGTTCCAGAGATATTAGCAGTTGAATGGAAAAGGATGCTTTTGCATTCAAAGTTCGATATCTCGGAGACAAATGGTCGTAATTGAGCCATCCAAAGCGATTTTTGAAGCTGAATAAACACGCTAAGAGACCTATACAATGGAGTAGCTCGAAAAAAATTTTCCATGCCCATAGAGTGAAAAACGAAACCTAGAAAATTTAGAAAAAAATTATTTTCAGCTTTGTTTAAGAATTGCATGGAAACCGGAGCTCAAAAAATTTTTTCACCAAAAAATCTGAAAACTAGAGTTTTTAAGCTTCAAAACCCTTTTTTTAAATTTGCTGTACGATTATTTTTCACTGAAATACAGCCTGTTGAAAATCACCCAAAAATTTCAAAAATTTTTATGTTCCCTTAATTTTTGCGAGGAGTGTATATGAAATATAAATATAAAAATGACGTGTATGGAAAGAACATCCGTGTATTATATTAATTTTAAAATAAGAATAGAGAAGTGAGATTACTAGTCAATATAAATTTTATTGATAATGTATACGGTGTTGTTCATGTCTATAAGCGAAGGTCATCATATTCCATCAGGTTCCGAATAAAATGTTAATTACAAATTATTTCATGTAGATACAGAACCTTCGGTGTATGATAATTGATATTATTTTTTGTTGTATGACATTTTCTTGTTTAGTATCTTTTTGTTACTTCTTGGGTTTCTTTTATTACAAATAATGTTTGTCGATGTCGAATAGTATAAAATTAGAATATTGTTTACATGCATTGATGTCGATTCAAAGGTGATTTTCTAAATCCATCTCTAAAATTAATATTCTAATTTAATTTCACAGTGAAATATTTATTGTAAGGACCAACATGTACATTGATAGTGCTGTGTACAGAGGGGGGGGGGGGGAAGGGATTGTTAATAATTCGGACTACCAGTCCCATTGCTAGCAATATACCCTGACTGGTCGATCTCCACTCGATCTCCACCTGGAAACCATCGTGCTGAATTCCAGGTGTATTCATCACAATGAGTTAACAGACCTGTTTTTTCATTCTTACATGTCATTCCTCACTGGTGCCTCGCCAATGTATACTGATAGCGTAAGCATTCCATTATTACCTATTAGAAAAAAGGGCCTGATGTTAAAAAATACTGTGTATAGGAACAGCGCGCTGTGTAGTATTTCTTTATTACTGTTTCCAAAAGCTTTGCTCCCGTGAATCAATAGATATATACAGTATCCTATGCATTAAGATTTAACTTACCCGCATAGGAAATTTTATTTAAATTTGTACAAACATCTAAATTTGTAAACATCTTTACAAACTTTCACATTTATAATATTAATATCTTTATTTTATGGAAGAAAATCATGCCTTGCAGTGGGTTGTTATGATATGACCTCATTACGGATGTGGAATCGAATAGCCAGTTCTTGACGCATCCAATAATAAAATAAGTAATTAAGAATAGTTTAATAATATACTTTTATAATGATTGTTTACATTATTTTCTTTTAATTTCCGTAAACAATAGTTTACTGCATTAACCTAAAACAAGTTCAATTCTACGTAATGGTTATTAAGATTTTACGTCAATTATGCGGGTACGTCATTGTTTTAATTAATGAATTGAATGGTAATCCCCCTTGTACTGTTTGTTTAATCTGGCGAGATACCAGTTACGAGTCATTGGTAAAGATAAGTGGTCAGGTTAAGATAAATGTCTAGCAGCGTCATTTATTGTGTGTAAATTTATCATATATGTTAATAGTTTATATATTATATTTTTTTGTTTGCAGCTTAGAATGGCAAATAAGCTGACGGTCCACCTGGTGGAAAGTGGTAACCATCGCCTATAGTCATAAACAGTACCATGGACATAATAATACGAGTATACTGTGTTGCCTGTGATACTTTCCATGCGTTTTCATTCTTGAAAGCTTAGTTCTCCTGTGTTATACCTCTGTACCTTATAATTTCATTACAATTTCAGTAATTTGTTGGATTCGTTTCACATGTTGGATATATAATAGATGCGAACTACTCTAGAATGTCTGTTTAGGGTAATCTTTGACGCAATGCACATTATTTTATAGAAAGAAGGTAGTAATCAATGATACGGCCTGTTTGATGTAAAATTATGATCCTACTCCTAGATGAAGTGACCGTATTAAATGTGTTGCAGGGAGTCAAAAATGCGGATAGTACAAGATCATTCCCTATAGTTGTATATATTATGTTGAATCGTACAATGAAAACAGTAAAATGATAATGATAGAATTTGAGACTTATGTTTCAAAGTGTCTACTAAACGTGACACTGCAACGTTTGTAGTCTGTGGCATAACTTAATTCTTTATTATTTAAAACAGTGAAGAATTAAGTATTATTAGTGAGTATTGTTCTTAAATGAAGTTATTAATTCATTCCTATATAAAAAAACCAAGATATACATTTTTAACTAATTGGTGACATTTATTCTCAAACTTGCCGAAAATTCGTTACCATTTTTGAAAAAAATATAAGTTCTTTAGATATTTATTGCGAGTATTTGACTCCATTCATACAATAATCATCTGATTACTTTTTTTGCTTTTTGTTTATTACTTTTATTTTTCTTGAAGGCATTTTTATATGTTGATTAGGTAACGTGATGATACACTAGTATGAAACACACACCTGAAAAGATACACCTTGTATCAAATAAAGATCTTAACGCTTTCAGGATCCACATCACGCTCATCTTTCGCATTCATTTCATTTCATTTCCTTTCAATTTGTAAGACATTGCGTGTCTGCGTACAACAGGTTCACTACAAGGCCAAACAACGCGATCACGTAACTCGTAAAAACAAAAGTAACGCCTAAAAAAA